TTTTTTTCCCCCCCCCCCCCAAAAAATCACAAGTAAAACCATATATATCGTCTTCTCATAGCTTCCTTTTAAACAAGATGTTATTGCCTGCTATGCTGTTACATCTCTCTTCTTCTTCCACATCCAAAAACATACAACTCCAGAATGTTTACCGTAATGTTATTCTGAAAAAAGCCATTAAAAATGTAAAAGAGAAAAATTTGACTCAGGCTGACTTCTTGATTTAAGAAGACTCTAAACTGCCACTGTCAATCTCATTTATCTTTTATGAAATACATAACAATACATTTCCCCCATATATTCAGTTTAACTTTTGAGTATTTTGAAATATGACATTTATTTTTATTTCATCTATCTTTCTTTCAAAACCCACTATCAGACTGAGCTGGTTCATCTGACTTCTATAAAGAGATATGTCCTTTCACAACTGTTGCACAAGATTATCTTCCCAGTGAGGAAGATACCCTTAATTATCATCTTGTGACAGAAATTATACATTTGAAGTGACTGCAATCTCTTCTCAAAAGAAAAATGCACGTTACTTGGTATTTTCATGACTAAAATATTGTCAAAACATCCCAAAACAAACCCAAGAAGCAAAAAGCCTTGTACAGCACCACACACAGCCAAAAGGCTGTTAAGTTCATCCACACCTCTCCCCTCTCTTCTTCCACCCTTCCCTCAGCAAATCCAAAGACTTGGAAGCCAGCACAGCTCTGGTTAGAGTGCTGTATGCAAGTAGCATCAGGTACAAGGTCTCCTATTCCAGTTTCTGCTTTCCTCTTCTCACATCCAGTATTTCGAAGCTCTCCCAAAGAGTGAAGAAAATAGTTAATTTTAGGCATTTAACCATTTTCAGCACACTTTGTTTGCAATATTTGCCAAGCGAAAGAAACAAAACAAAACCTTTAGTTGCATCTCTAAGTATCATTAGACTGGGTTAAAAATATGATTGAAATAGAACTAAGTGTGCATTAATTATTTGTGCTCTATTTCCAAAGCCTTTACAGTTCAGATTCTCAACCTTCTGTCTGTTAGGAGCTGACAACTGACATAAAAAGGGGGAAGGAAAGATGGAAAGCATGATACTCCTTTTCCCAACCACTCCAAATACTGAAAGCATGGATGGCAAAAAAATCCACAGAAACACCAACCACGAAACATGCCCCATTATTTTATGCTAATTCTTCAGCAGATAAAGATGGATGAAATTGGAGATCACCCATGTAAACTGAAATACACCTGTTCCACCACATCTGGACATGTTTCACTTGGCCCTAAGTGCACGCCAGTTAAGCAGCTGCTATGAGGAACTCAGAAACTTCACCTGCAAGAAGGGAGAACTTCAGGAACTGTACACCAGCCTTCAGAATCATTCATTCATCAGTTCTGCTTTGCAGCACAACCCTCACAGTAGTGAGGCCAGGGCTCCTCAAGGAGCATATCACCTTTCAAGACTTCTACCTAATGACAAGTATCACAAGAGCAATGTTACATGCACTACAAACAACTAGCTGGTTCATTATGTACCAGGTAACTAAGACACAAAACCCTATCCTAGGGTTTGCTTTAAATATTTTCACCTATAATGTATGACCTTCAGATATGAAGCAAAAAAAGATTTAAAAACATTTTCCACTAAACAAGCAATGCCTACTTGTCTCTTGTGTTCTGCAGACATCACATTTATTATGACCTTATATTGCATCATTTTGTTGCCTGGACAGTTATTCCCACGTACACGATGAGATATTTGAGCAGTAAAGCAACTGCAAAGGGCTGGAGAAAGGATGATGATCCCTCTGCTTCTAACATGGACTGTTTCAGTTACAGGTTTCTACCCTATTAGCCTGTCTATCCCTTTTCATGTTCAAACTTCCATAACTGTAGCAGAACAGAAATGTGGGACAAATAGTTTACCCAAAAAGTCCTTATTCCTTATCCTGCTCATTATCCCATGTGCAGCAGTCCAAAAGATTTATAAGCTTGTTTCTAAGTCTATTTTTTAACACTGCAAACCACATAAGCAATTTTAAAAGAAAAGGAAAGTAGCTGGAAAAACAGAGGTTTCATCCTGGGCCTTCCCAGATCCATAGAGCAATTTTCTAACATTTGTGCTGGGGAACAGGCTGTTACTCTCCCTGAACTATTAAAAGACGGCATCAACTATTTACAAGCAGTTTA